TTAACCCCCCCCCCCCACACACACACACACACATTTTGGGGGTCAAATATGACCTTGACATGTTTTCATTAAATTCACCCAATAAGAATTTTTTTTTTTTGTAGATGACGTTCCAGACGCACAGTAACACTGTCAGTCCTCTATATTCATGGACAATTTCTACGAAAAAAGCATCATATTTCCATAAACTCACACAAAAACCTGTTGCTTCTGCATATCTGGTTCAGCTGAAATAGCCGTTCCCATGTTATATTTTGTTATATAACACAGCTATATCATTACTACAGTCCTTGATCTAATGCAGGCAAATGATTCAATTCAACTGAAATCCAGTGGAGTCAGTGGTTTGTCCAGGAACGCAGAAGCATAGTGATGTTAACTGAAGAGTGTTGTTAGGAACAAGTGCACGGTTAGAAACTGTTCGAGTATCAAAACCAATGTCCCGTTTTACTCCCAATCTGCTCTCCACGGAAAAATAGCCCTTTCGTTGAGAGCATTTCAGTTCTGCAATCCAGATCTAGAGAATAAAACAATGAACTCAATTATTGACCTTCCTTTATTCTACTCAAGTTAAGTGACACCGAAAGAGGACTATGAAGCAACAAAACTCAAATCGCTGCTAAATGATAAGGTTAATCTTCTGTACACAGGTCCTTCACTAACGCTCAGCATTTCAGCTGTTCGTAAACTAGCTACGAATGGATTGTAATGCAAAACACAACGGATAACACAAAATCCACCTCAAAAACAGTAACACTGATAGAACGTAAGGCATAAGGACAACCCAACCACGCCACCTCGTAAACACACAACCGACAGAAATGAATTACGCTTGAAATGTACATCCACTTCGCTTTTAATGCCAAACCAATTTGGAAAAAAGCTTCCTAAATTGAGACCGGGAACGTTTTCCATAAGAAATGCGTGTTTGAGACGTGATATGAAAGACAAGGGTAGAGTATCCGTCGTCCAATAGAAATAGTTTCTTGTTTCTACTGAGAATATATGATGATGTAAACTACATATAAATAGAAGTTGATGGGTTATGACATACATTTCATGTATGTTTGTGATGCGTGCGCAGCGGTTTTCCGATCAGGAAGGCACATGTCGGACAAACGCAATCCTGTGCTTCCCAGAAATGAGGTAGTGTAAGTATGGGCCGTCAAAAATAAATGCATCTATGTGTGTGTGTGTGTGGGGGTGATGATACGGATGTTCTCTACTGGCATCTAGAGGTACCAAAATACGGAGTATGTTAAATTGCACAGTCTACAGTTTGTGAAGGATGATTATATGCGGTAAAGAGCGTTTGTCTTTCATCTTCTCTGGTAATGACAGGCCATCATCTCATCATCCGTATGGGCTGGACTCTCATGAGATGGGCATTTCGCCCCTGGTGGCGGGAGTCTTTAACAGCATGTGTTGGGTTATCAGAGGGAAGGTGGTGTTGGGTTTCTAAATAAAGCATGAACCGAGTGTCAACAGCAGCGCATGCGCGACGGAGACAGCTCTGGTGGGATTTCGGGTTCGGGCTGAAGGGACAGGACGCTGTTGGACAGCTCCTTACTGGGGACTTCAAGAGGCATCTGTGGAAGGACAACATTTAATCAGTTTGTAAGATGTTAGAGACTCTTCAATGACTGTCTGATGTGCATTGCACACTAAAATGGTAAGATCTTGCTCAAAAGAGATGGGAATCAGGGCTGCACGATTAATCAAAATAAAACCGAAATGCGTGCGTTTGAGTTTCATTCGAGAATGCAACATGCGCCAAACATCTTCCCAAACTTGTAATGACAAAGTGCTTATAAACCATCTGTTACAAGCAAAAGAGGCATTTTTCCACCAAAATAAAAGCTCAACATTTGAAACTGAAGAAATTAAGATTGCAATTTTACAGTTGTACTGGTTCAAGGTTCTTTATTTGTCACGTACAGAATTACATACATGTGATGTAGTGATTTTTCTTAAATACTTGACTTAATTTTACAGTAAAATATTATTATTATTATTACTATTAACAATCATATTGTTATATAATCACAAAATTCACAAAAAAAAAAAAATCACATTTTAAAATTGCAATTTTATCAGAATTTTATCATTTATCACGCAGCCCTAATGGGAATTGTAATAAATAAAAAAAAAGGAAGAAATAATAAATAATTACTGCATTTGCCAACGTTTATGGCATCAAATCTTATTGTCTAATACACTTGTTATGTAAATATAATCTCACCTGCTTTGGTCTCCTAAATGTCATGTACAACATTTAATAAACTAAAGTGTAGTTGGTCACTTTACATGTTGGTTGGACGCTTCCTTCCTGTCTAAGTGGCCAATTACTGGCCATTATTCACAGCAAATTGGGTCAGACTTTTTGCCGATAGTCAAATTCCATCTCTGCGTTTCTACTGAAATCCTGAAAACTCCTTTTATCTCATGATGATATAATTTGAGCCAGAAACACTCGTGATTCACTCGTGACTCGTCAGGCACTGAGAAACTCACTATTTTTAATCAAATGTTTCAGAATTAACATTTTGATGAGCAAAGTATTTGTCAAAACAGCTCCACTTACCTTACTCAAAATGTCATCAACTAGTTTAAGGAATATCTCATCCACATTAAAGTTGTCCTTGGCACTGGCCTCACAGAAACGCATCCCTGACATCCGTGAAGCAAACTGCCAGAAATAAAGAAATTTATTTCAGTGTGATGGTGGTTCTGTATGGGTTAAATATTCAAATAATTAAATATTTAATACTTTTCTAATGCAATCAGCTGACTGAGGCTCTTTCTTTTCCATAATGGTAACACATCAAACTATTGTATGGCTTCAGAAGATGTGTGGACTGCTTTTATCGAGTAAATAACAATGTTTGGGTGAACTATTCCTGTGTAAAGTGTGCTTTCACACACTGGTACTGTTAGCTTTAGTCCCAGTGGGTTTGGGAAGGTTGGAGGAGGCATTATTCAGAGCATTCAAGGAATCTCTTTGTGGAGGTCCAGAATAATGTCCCTGTGTCCAGGGCT